CTTATATGATTAACATCTCATTTATATTAAATATTCTATGTATGACTGTTTCTTTAACATTCATGATCTTTTATTTATTAATGCAGATACTTAAGCAGAATCTATAGTATATTTTCTAATGCAAAGCCAATATTCTTTTGTAGGATGACACAATGAAATGGTACTTTTATAAGCTATTCAAGCTTTTATAAAAGCTTGAATAGCGATTAAAAAAAGCTTATTTTATAAGATTCTGCCTCCCCCCTTAAATTCTCTTCACCTTGCTGTTACTAAATTTTACATTTGTAGGATTTACCTCTTTCATGCAAAATCTACAATATATCAGCTAGGAATTACCCATAATATTCTTTAAATTTATGTGTCTCTAAAAAATTTAGTTTTTGAAAAAACTTTGATTCACAATTTTGTGGAATTTCAGATTAGCTCTATTCATCTGTACACTTTATCTTTATTAGCTCTATTCACCACCTCCACAAAAACAAGAGAGACTGCTCCTATATCTGATGAGGGAAGAAATTTAGAGAACAGTCAAAGTCATTGGCGTTGAAGATTTGTCTACTTAACTGAGCTTACATGGGGACGAGAAGGCTGGGAGGGGTCTTTGGGACACTGGTGATGGGTCTGGTATTGAAATGATGTATGCATGAAAAGTGTGATTTACAGTTTCATAAATTAGAGTATCTAAAACAATGATGTAAAAAGAAAAATGAGTAATTTTGTAAATCGTGGTGACTTAATTAATACTTAATTAAAAATTTAAAAGGTAACATATCTAACAGTAAATTTAACAAAAATGAAACACAGCACAAAGAAACAGAAAGACATTCCACGTTCATAATTAGAATAAATATGAATTTTAAATGGATCTACTATCTAAAGCAATCATTCAATACAATCTCTATCAAAATGCTAGTGGAATTTTTACCAAGAAATAGAACATTACTATCATTAGTATAGAATCATAAATGACCCCAAAATAGTCAAAGCAATTGTGAGAGAAAAGAGGCAATATGGAGAATATATTTCTCCTCCTTCAAACACAACAATAATTAAAACAATGTGGCACTGGTTGAGGTGATGCCTCAGCTGGAGCACACCTTTGCATTTGAGTGTCCTGGGCTTGACCCTGGCACAAGTGCCTCTTCCAGCACCACTGGATGTGGCACCCCTCCTGCAAAACGTCATATTTTAGTCACATAGTGGGAATAGAAAGCCCAGAAATAAACACAGATGTGGATATCTAATCTACCACAAAGGAGTCAAATTCTTAGGGTGGAAAAATAAAGTTTGTTCAACACTTGGTGGTAGAAAAGCTAGATTACTATTTAACACTAAACACAAAATTAATTCAAAATGGATTAAATATCTGTGTCTATTGGGGCTGGAGAGATCGTACAGCTGGGGAAGGGCTTGCTGTGTGCTACTGACTCAGGTTTGATATCCTGCACCACATATGGCTCCTTGAGCACTTGCAGAAGTGATCCCTGAGTGAAGAGCCAGAAAGAAGCAAGCCCTGAACACAGCTGGGTGTTTAGGTATTAGATCTTTATGTTTAGGGTCTAACATATGTTTGGGTATTGCACCCTAAATCATTAAGTACATAGAAGAAAACATTGGTGATCTCAACATCATCAAATTTTGGGAGGAATTATTTTGCATTTCCAGTGGGAATGAAAAACAAAAGCAATAAACAATGGGATTAAGGCAACATTAAAAGTTATTACTCTCTGAAGGGAACTATCACAAAATTAAAATGGCAACCCAACCCTCTCCCAAATATTTACATATTATATACCCAAGAATATATATAAAATAAGGAATTCACACAATCGAACAACAAAATAAGCAACCCAATCCCAAAAATACACATAAGACCTCTGAACTGACTCCTCCAAAGACATCAGAGAGCCTGCAACATATGAAAAATATACTTCAAATTGTTTACTAGTCTCATCTTTCCCTGCCATGCGACCCTTCTCTACATAACCCAAACAAGGCTGTTTCCAAAGTGACAGGGCAAAAAGGATCCAAAACGCAGAAAAAGACCTGGGTTCATTTTTTTAAATCAGGTTAGAGTCACCTTTTGAGGGAGGTGCAGGTAAGCACTGAATGGAGGGAAAGGGGGAAAAAAACCTTTCTCCACCTCAAAGAGAAGTAAGAGGATCTTCACTCGATTACCTGGCTGAGTCACAAGCAAACCAAGGAGCCCGCCAAGAAACAACAGTGGGCGGAACATAGTGTGCCCTCTTGGCTCCAAACTGATACTGCGGGAAGTGGCCGTTGGGCGTTGGGGAGCTCGCGGCTGCCTCTACCCACCAGCCACCGGCTTTGCAAACCCCGGGAGCCGCCTCACGCGCAGGAAAGCGCCAAGCTGTCCTGTGGTTGAAGGTGATCCGTTAGCACCACGTATCCTAACTTTCTGAAGTCTGCACCCGATCCCTTTTCCTGGTCTGGAGTTATCCAATCACCTCAGGCCCCTTCATCTTGGTAAAAATCCCCATAAACCTTTAGCCTGTTTGGCGTGACTGAAAATAATTATCACGTGTATTATATACGAATTGTATCAATACATCCAGGTACACACAAATAAGACCACACACACACACACACACACACACATTTGCTAAATGGAGTTTTAAAGAAGTTTAAAACATATTGTTTAAACTTCTTTAAACTTTTAAATCAGGTTAGAGTCACCTTTTGAGGGAGGACTCTAACCTGATTTAAAAGTTATGCTTCGCAGAGCATAAATTTTTAAAGAAGTTTAAACAATATGGTCAACTGCTACTACAATCTAATATACTTAAGATTCAGAAATAAGCACCTTCAAAATAACTAGCAGTGTTGGGAAGTGTAATAGGGGTATTGGGATTTGTGTTGGAATACTGAATATCTAACTAAACAGACGACTAAATGAAGTTATTTTTTTAAAAAGCCAGATGGGTTGGACCAGAATTTGCATCAAAACAGAACAGAAACTGGCCATGTATTGTAATAAAATTCCAATAAAGGGAGAGGTGAGTGGGTTTTAAAATTTTGGCTAAGAACCGGCCAAGTTCCCTGCCCCGCCCCCCCATACCTAAGGCTCGTTAAAGTAGGCAATGTTCAAGTGGTTTATTATTCTGATTCTTCGCAGAGCAGTGGCTAAAATTCACATCGATGTCATTCTCTTGTTCAGTAACTTTTCACTACACTCACATAATAAACAGCATGCTTAAAACTCTAATACCCGTAAATAGTTATATGTGTTTCAGCAGAAAATGCTAGCAAATTTCTCAGCACAAGTGTTTAAACTTTTCTAAATCTAGTGTCTGGGCAGCTAATTCATCTTGTCTTCAAGTTCTTGGTCACTCTGGCTGATCAGCCAGTCTGAGCACTGCCAATCAACCCCTCTACACCTTCTCATACAATGCAGTGCATTCTTCCTTACAACCGCTCCCCCAGTCTCTAGGTGCATGTACTTTTGTGTCATTCCAATTTGTTTAAAAAGTGAGAAAAGTTTATCTGTCGGAATCAGCACATCTACATTAACTGCTGGAATGCAATTTTACAGATCACAAGATTTCATAAGAATAAGGCAATCTTAATTTTTAAAACTATAGTATAAAGGAAACCAAAGCAGCAAAAAATATACACCAATAACGTATCTCCACTGCAAGAGCCAATTCTGGAATAACATTGCTGCGGGCAGCACCAACCAGCACTGGTTTTATCCTGCGTCTGATGAACAATAAAAGGCAACTGCCATTTAATGCTACGCATTCTGATTTAATTTGTAGATAACTCATTTTAGTTACTTCTGCCTCCTGTGCTTTTAATATTTATATCAAACTAGAGTTAACTTTATATTGTGCTTGTGTCTATACAGCTCACTCCATAATAGAAGATATAAACATGATACCTGCAAGATGGCAGTTTTGGGTAAAATATTAACAGAATTTAATAATCTTTGATTTATGCTCGGAAAACTTGAATTGTACTTAACCATATGGTTAGAGTCCTACGTAGTATTTGATAAAAATGGAAAATGGAAAACCCCAAACATGCTAAGTTTGTGAACGTATAGACAGTAATAACATAGCTACATATATTTCTCTTTGATTAAGATATCATTGGCAGTAAAGTAAAGGCCCTCCCGTTGATCATCGATTTGCTCGAGCGGGCCCAGTAACGTCTCCACTGGAGACTTTGTTGTAACTGTGTTTGGCATATCGAATACGTCACGGGGAGCTTGCCAGGTTCTGCCGTGCGGGCGAGATACTCTTGGTAGCTTGCTGGGCTCTCCGAGAGGGGCGGAGGAATCGAACTCGGGTCGGCCATGTTGGCTGCGTGCAAGGCAAACGCCCTACCGCTGTGCTATCGCTCATACTTACTTTTACTTACTAAGATATCATTAACAAATGGCAAGAAAGCTCTTTCATATTAGATTTTGAAATGACATCTATGACCAAAAAATTTTACAGTTTAATGGGAAATCAAACAAATGAAGAACAAACCTAAGTGATTAACACATGAACTATATGAAAATATACAAAAAAGTGTATGAAACAGACTGATCAAGTAGATCATTTAGATATTTTCTACATGTTAAAGGATCTAAAGGATTATCTAATTATAAGCTGTATCCAACTATAAAATTTCACTGAAATAAATTAGTTGCAAAAATTAAAAGTATGAGTGAAAAAGCTCAATAGTTTAGTCGATCATAAATTCACTCACTGATCTTGTAAAAATGAATAGTCTTCACTTAGAATAATTTACAATTTTAATATAAGCATGTTAAAATAATGTAACACCTTCAAAAAATTAAAATATCCATGTTTATCAACACTAAATTGTTTCTTTTAATAAAAGGCACTGTGTACAAGTAGTTAAAATTCTAAAAACTTAATGAGAAAACATGTACAAAATTTTCATTAGCATTTCATTTAAAGTATTATGTTTCAATTAATAAAGTAATAAATAGCTGAGTATTTAGGCTGTTACTAGACAACACAAAACAGAATTTCAAGTATTTTATTTGTTGTAAATATTGTATTTGTATATTTATATATATACAAACCAAATATTTTAGCTAATGAAATTTAGTTAATAAATTTATTGAACATTATTATGTATGAAAGCTCATGAAAAATTTTGAAAGCTTAAAATTTTACCATCAATACATTACATTTATTCCATTAGTAAAAATCAAATTATCTTTTTAACACAGGTGAGACGATAATTCAGACACTACATTTTTTGTCCTTGTCTAAAAATGATTACCTCTTCCCCTTTCTCTTTGAAAAAAATTAGTGACAGAAAAATGATGTAGTACACCTTGGTAAATGTAAACATTCTAACTTATATTAATTAAGTTTGAAAACAAAGATTTTAGATTTCATTAAAGTGCTCAGGAAATTCCCAAGTGGTTTTGACAGCACAACTGATTGAAGACATTATAATAGCTCCTGCTTTGCTATGTCCATGAATCAACAGTATCTGATTAGCTCTATTAAATACTTTGTACCTGAAGTTTTATTATTTATTTAAAATATGATATTCTAAAAGAATGTCATGCTACAACATGATTACAAATAGAAATTGTATTAACTTTTCTAATCATTATCCGTAGATAGATGCAAAGATTCTATTGCCTATAGAATCCACAGAATCATTTATCCATAGAATGACCATAAAAATGAAAGATGTGTGTGAATACACACATATACGTTTAAAAGTATTTTATACTTTTAAAAACACAATATCTTATGTAGGTTTTATGCATTTTCTGAGAATATAACATTTACTCGTAGTGAACGAAATAGACAAGACTAGTGTTTAATAAATTAGTCCATTCAAGATGAAGACTATCATTTATTACTGGTACCTAACTACTCATGTCATGAATGAAATAAACAAGACTAAAGTTTGATGAGATTAGCCCATTCAAGATGAAAACTATCATCTATTACTGGCACCTAACTAATCAAATTCCAAAAGTATTAGATTTCCATATGTTCAACCAGAACTACATTAATAATAACTAAAGAATTCAGAATTGCAATGAAATACATGGTAAAACTTAAATCTTTTTGAGAATCATTACACTAGCATGTTCAAAATAATATAATCCATGTTAAGTACATTAATTCACATACAACTGAAAACAATTCACTCAATGATGAAAATTTCATATTATTCTAGATTCCCTGGTTTTATTACATTTTTCGTATTTTTCAATTCTGACAACTCTATTTCTGTTCTCAGTTTTCCTGTGTAATTAGTAAAGTCTGTTTCGTAGTATCTTGTTTTCATTCACAGTTGCAGCAAGAAAGGCTTTCAAGAAAATATCAGGGGGATAAACCTATTAGCTCAGTTTCCTGAAGATTACTGGCATAAGGAAAGTTGTAAAAAAAAAAAAATCAAGTTAGAGAACTGTATAAAGGTGGTGCAGGAGCAGGACGAGCAGGTATTAAATTTCCCTGAGATGATACTTTCGGTTGTGGTGGAGGTGGCCTATGAGGAAGGGGAAAAAAGAACAATTGTGAGCTTTAAATAATTTTACACTCATTAGAAGCCAAATATGCCATTCTAATATTGCTGACAATTCTTTTGGAGGTAGAGGGTGGGGACTCAATGCAGTGCTCACCAAAAACCAACCCTCTGCCGCCTGGCTCTGCTAATGCAGAGCTGCCCCGAGGTCACCTCCATTTCCTAACTGTTCCTGAGGCAAAGTCTGGCCCAACCTATCTGGCTGTCATCTGTTTAGTTAGACATTCAGTATTCCAACACCAATCCCAACACCCCTATTACACCTTCCCAATACTGCTAGTTATTTTGAAGCTGCTTGTTTCTGAATCTTAAAATATATTAAATTGTAGTAGCAGTTGACCAAATTTTTTAAACTTCTTTAAAACTTTATTTTGGCACTGCATTAATATGACAAAACTTAAAACTTCTTTTTGTTTTGTTTGGGGACCACACCCAGTGGTGCTAGGGCCTACCTCCTGGCCCAGAGCACTGGGGTTCCCCCCTGGCATTTTCAGAGAACAATGCAGTGTGGGGACCACATAGAGCAGCACTCCAGCCCTTTGAGTCTTTCCCTCTGACCCCTTAAAAACTTTCAGAAATGTGTGCTCTATCAAAATAGTTGGCAATAAACACCTTATCCTAAATTAAATTAAAATAAATGGGCAGGAGCCGAAGGCATAGCTCAGTGGGTAGGGCACTTGCCTTGCATATGGTCAACCCAGATTGGGTCCCCAGCATCCCAACTGGTCTCCTCCACCCTCCCAGGAGTAAGCCCTGAGCACTGTCAACATGGCCCCCCAAACGAAAACAAAATACAAGGGAAAATGTAGACATTAAGTACAGGGTTTTGATCAAATAATCTAAAAGAATTCATTTCAAACCTTGATGGAAACTGCTGAGGCTGCGTGGCTGTGTACGCAGGTGTTGGAAATCTGTTTGCATAGATAGGCTGAAAACAGAAACAGTTATCAGCATAATATATTCAGATAGTTTGATTTCCATGTGAAAGTTCAATATAGTTTAAATCAATGATTAATGATAGATGATGCAAACATCTTAAAATATTTTGCTTCTTCAACATATTTGCCACTGAATGTAGAACACAATTATTTTAAGGTCATTTTTTAAAAATCCATAAAACAGAAATATCACATAATGTGTTCTAATAAACTACATTCAGTTAAAAATGTGACGTGTTCGATTTTAAATAAAATCTACCAAATAATGTGTGAATACACCTAAACAATACCTGATACTATAAATATAACTAATTAACAAAACTCAATTTTGGAATTTATTATATCCTTCCTTAAAAAGGCATTTGAAGTTTTACAACAAAGTGAGGCTCTATAACATGAACTCAAGTAAGATAGCAAAAATTAAAACATTTTATGCATATCCCATCACATTTGGGAAAGTTAGAGAAAATGGGGATATATTAAAAAAATCAATGACGCAGAGTTTATCACAATCTGCTATTAATTCCTAAAACACTATGAATTAAGAAAATACATATGATTGGAGAAGAGCTTAAACATTATTCATATTCTGCTATATTTTTGCCCTCTAAAGCAATTTTCTCACATTGTGAAAATAGAGAAGGGACAGACACACAGACAGACAGACAGTCTCTGTCCCCTTTGGCCATGGTACAGGAATAGCATTTTGGAAAAGACAGTTAAAGTCCATTTCTTGGAATTTATCTGACATATACTTTTTCATGCATGCAAAGACTTAGGTATAAGGATATTTGATGTTATTTTTTTGTGATAGCAAGATGTAAAACACCCATTTTAAGTAGTGGTGGGAATGCTGACTGGTTCAGCCCTTTTGGAAAACAGTACGGACAATTCTAAAAAAATTAGAAATTGAGCTCCATTTGATCCAGCAGTACCACTCCTGGGAATATATCCCAGAGAGGCAAAAAAGTATAGCCGAAATGACATCTGCACTTCTATGTTCATTGCTGCACTGTTCACAGTAGCCAAAATCTGGAAAAAACCCGAGTGCCCAAGAACAGATGACTGGTTAAAGACACTTTGGTACATTTACACAATGGAGCACTACGCAGCTGTTAGAAAAGACGAAGTCATGAAATTTACATACAAGTGGTACTACATGGAAAGTATCATGCTAAGTGAGATGAGTCAGAAAGAGAGGGACAGACATAGAGAGATTGCATTCATCTGGGGAATGTAAAGTAACAAAACAGGACACTAACATCCAAGAATAGTCGAGATAAATACCAGGAGGTCCACTCCATGGCTTGAAGGCCAGCTGCACATGCTAAGCGAAAAGGCAGCTCAGATAGAGAAGGGAACAGCAAGTAAAGGGTGCTGAGAGGATCCTCCCAGGATGGGAGATACATGCTGAAAGTAGACTAAAAAATGGACATGATTGCCACTCAATGCCTCTTTTGCAAAGCTCAGCAACCAAAAAGAGAGAAAGAACAAAAGGGAATGCCCTGCCACAGAGGTGGGATGGGATGGGGGGAGGGCAGAGGGATACTGGGATCATTGGGGGTGGAGAATGGGCACTGGTGGAGGGATGGGTACTCGATCATTGTATAACTGAAACCCAAGCACAAAAACTTGTAATGTCCACAACTGTACCTCATGGTGTTTCACTAATAAAAATTTAAAAAAAATAATAATAAGTAGTATTCTAGAATAGTGTATATTTATTAAAAGCAAAGCTCTTACAAATAGTGGCCTAAATATTACAATAAAGTACATACTGATATTTTAAAATGTGTGTTAAGATATCAAATTGGAATTTTAAAAAAGAATTGGATGTGTTTCTAGAAAACAAGAAATAATTCACAAACCAAACAATGAGAAACGAAGGGGTAGGGCAGGGCCAAGAGGCGCAATAGGAAACTTGTGTTTAGTTCCTTCCAGTCTCACCAGCCACATCAAAACAAGGGATTAACCTACACAAACCAGACCTGAAACCTGGAAAAGCAACAGAGGCTTTTACAGAAAGGGAGAAAAGGAGAACGGCGGCTGATTAGACACAGCATCAGTAAGCACTATCTTGACAGCCACGCTGGTGCACACTATAGTGGGTTTCACTCAAAGGGGCTGGGAGGACGGTGGGGGGGGGGGGGAGGAGAAGGAAATCAATAAGGAAAGATCCACCCTCCCCCTAAATTTGACAGAGGAAGAAAAAGTTACTTGGAAAAATGTAGAAGAATCCATGGGTACTAAACCGGCACCCTAGGAACATTGAAGAAGTTCTATGGGGTGAAAGGGAGGGAGGGGAGGGAAGAAGGGGAGGGGTAAGAGGGAGAGAGGGAGAAAGGAGGAGGGAGGAAGGTGAGTAGGAGAGAGAAAGGGAGGGAGGGAGAGCACTATCATATGAGGCAGTCATACTACCTTTGGGTTACTATCTTAACAACATAAAAATACTAATAGAAAAGTTATGTCCATTTCAATGTGTATGGTAGCATTATTTCCAATACCAAAATTTGGAAATAACTTAAGTGTTCATCGAAATGATTTAGTTAAAAAACAAAGTGAGGGGATGGGAGGGATACTGGGACCGGTGGTGGTGGAGAATGGACACTGGTGGAGGGATGGGTACTCGATCATTGTATAACTGAAACCCAAGCACAAAAATTTGTAAGTCTACAACTGTACCTCATGGTGTTTCACTAATAAAAATTAAATAAAAAATGATATTTAGCTCAAAAAAACCCAAAAAACCAAAGTGACACATTTATACAGTGGAATGCTATATTCTACAAAAAAAAAAGCTACAAAAAAAGAGGAAATTTTGCATTTTGCAACAAAATGGGAAAAGTACAGGAAATTATGCAAGCCAAATAAACCAGAATGAAGACAAATAGATTATTTCACCAACGTGTGCAATTTAAAGGCATGAAATTGATGAAAAGATGAAAATACAAAGATAAGCCACGCCACCAGGGACATCGCTCAATAGGCTGGAGCACAGGCTCTGCTTGCAGGAGCTCTGGGCACACTCCCTGGCACCAGATGGTCCCCGGAGCAACACCATGGGCAACACCCAAGCACAGAAGTTAGAGCAGATTCTCCAACCCGCCACTGCTGGATGTTGAAAAAAAATAATAAACCATTGGAGAGGGGAATAAAACAGAGAGGTACAAAACTTTGCCACGGGGTGCTGCTCATTGATAGAGCACTTACACAAGCAAAGTTCTGGATTCAGTAAATTAGGCTGACGAAACAATTCAAAGGACTGAGTGCATGCTTCGAAAGCAGAAGTCCTGGGTTTGATCTAAGCACCATATGGCCCTGAGTGGGAGTGAGTACAAAGCTGGGAGAAACTCTTGAGCACTGTCAGATGTGGTCCACAAACCTAAGTGTTATCTTTAAGTGATGGAAAATATACAAAGTTTAAAAGATAAAATAAGTCATGAGAATGTAATATACAGAGATTGGCACACATCAAAAAGAACAAGTGTAACCCAGAGCTGACTCGGATGCAGAAAGGGACTCTGGTGGGAATGTTGACTGATGCAGCCTTTTTTGGAAAACAATATGGGCATTCCTCAAAAAAATAGAAATTGGGCTTTCATTCAGTCCAGCAATACCACTTCTGGAAATATACCTTAGGTGCCCAAAACATACAACAGAAAAGCCACCTGCACTTCTATGTTTATTGCAGCACTATTCACAACTGCCAGAATCTGGAAACAACCCAAGTGTCTGAGAAGAGAGGCTGGACAAAGAAATTATGGTTCATCTAAACAAGGGAATACTACACAGCTGTTAGGAAAAATGAAGTCATGAAATTTGCTTGTACATGGATGGACATGGAGACTACTATGCTGAGTGAAATGATTAAGAGGGAGAGAAACAGAATGATGACACTCATTTGCAGAATATATATATATGTATTAAAAATGAAAAACACACACAGTATAAGAATAATACCCGTAGACAGTAGAAAAGAGGGCCAAAAGATGGGTCCCATTTGACCCAACAATACCTACTCCTGGAAATATATCTAGGAGAGGTAAAAAAGTACAGTCAAAATGACATCTGCACTTCCATGTTCATTGCTGCACTGTTCACAATAGCCAAAATCTGGAAAAAACCCAAGTGCCCGAGAACAGATGACTGGTTAAAGAAACTTTGGTACATCTACACAATGAAATACTATGCAGCTGTTAGAAAAGATGAAGTTATGAAATTTGCATACAAGTGGTTCTACATGGAAAGTATCATGCTAAGTAAGATGAATCAGGAAGAGAGGGACAGACATAGAAAGACTGCACTTATCTGGGGAATATGAGGTAACAGAATAGAAGATGAACACCCAAAAAAGCTTGCCACAAGTAATGGGGAAGTGCAGTTAGGACAGAAAAGGGACCACTATGACAATAATTGGAAATGATCAATCTGGACAAGAAGTGAGTGCTGAAAATAGTAAACTGATATACATGATAACCTTTCAGTAACAGTACTGCAAACCACAGCACCTATAAAGAGAGAGTGAGGGGAACAGAAGAAGAGTGAATGAGAGAGAAGGAGGGAGAAAGTGAGAGACGAAGGAAGAGTATGTGTGTGTGAGAGAGAGAGAGAGAGAAAGAGAAAGAGAGAGAGAGAAAGAGAGAGAAGAAAAGTATCTGCCCTAGAGGCAGGCTGTAGGGGGCGGGGGCAGAACTCAGGACACTGGTGGTGGGAAATAGACACTAGTGAAGGGACAGGTGTTTGGGTGTTGGAACACTGTATGGCTGACACACAATCATGAACAAGTTTGTAACTGTATTTCACTGTGATTCAATGAAAAAAAAAGGAAAAAGAATTTTTTCTTTATAAACTTACAGCTTGCCTGGGAGGAGTCACTGGGGAAACATGGCGAGGAACACTCACTGGCTGTCTAGGAATTTTTGCTTGATTTTTGTTATCTGATCTGAAAGATACAAGATTTTGAAGCCAATTACTATTAAAATTTTTCTATATGACATATACCTCATATCTTCCCAAATACAAAATGGTAGTGGTAAACGTTAAGATTATAGCTAAAATTTCTATGTTTTTAATCCTCATATTACAAGATGTTTTTAACCCTGTCTTAACAACAGAATAAACTGATATTCTAAAAAGTTATAAAATGTGGTTGATTAAGGCCATTGTTTTAAACTTTTACCTCATTTCCCCCTAAAATCTGAGAATTAAAACTGATTCTCAGAGAATTAGAAAATCCTGGAAGCTGATCACCAATAATCCTGGAAGCTGATCACCAATAATCTTTTCCTTTTACCACTAAAAGACATACTGCATGACTACTACCTTTCAATCCCTGCTTACCATTCCAAAATAAAAAAAAACCCAGAATCCTATTTTAAAATCCACTTCTACAATATGATCATCATTAATAATTGAAATATAATATTAATTAAAATGGAAAATCTCTGTACTCATATGTTCGTGATCTCTTCTTCCGGAAGCATCTTTTCTGTAGCTGATCTCTCTTTATGAAGGCAAAGGCAGCAAGCACAAGAAGGGGAACTACCAAAAAGAAGAATATCAGAAGTCCATCCCTCAGCGTGGAATCCTTTTCTAGAGAGAAGAAATTACATTAATGGTCATTAAGTTAGATGTCAACTCACAGAAACAAAAGAATGGTCATTATAAATAATTCACAGAAGTCTTCACACTTCAAAGATTAAATGAATATAAATAAATAAAAGGCATGGAAGTGTTTTGTTCATATCTCATCCCTGGCTACTTTGATTTTGCCTACCCCTAAAAAATAAAATATATTGGTTTTGAATGGCTAAAAGGCACGTGAGAAAATGCTCTACATCATTAATCATCAGGGAGATGCAGATCAAAACAACAATGAGACATCGTCTCACACCACAGAGACTGGCCCACATCCAAAAGAACAAAAGCAACCAATGTTGGCACGGATATGGCAAGAAAGGGACTCTCCTACACTGCTGGTGGGAATGCCGACTGGTTCAGCCCTTTTGGAAAACAGTATGGACGATTCTCAAAAAATTAGAAACTGAGCTCCCATTTGACCCAGCAATACCATTTCTGAAAATATATCTAGGAGAGGTAAAAAAAAAGTACAGTCAAAATTACATCTGCACTTCTATGTTCATTGCTGCACTGTTCACAATAGCCAAAATCTGGAAAAAACCCAAGTGCCCAAGAACAGATGACTGGTTAAAGAAACTTTGGTACATCTACACAATGGAATACTATGCAGCTGTTGGAAAAGATGAAGTCATGAAATTTGCATACACGTGGTTCTACATGGAAAAGTATCTTGCTAAGTGAGATGAATCAGAAAGAGAGGGACAGACACAGAAAGACGGCACTCATCTGGGGAATATGAGGTAACAGAATAGGAGACAAACACTCAAGAATAGTTGAGGTAAGTACCAGGAGGTCTGCTCCACGGCTTGGAAGCCAGCATCACATGCTGGGGGGAAAAGCAGCTCAGATAGAGAAGGTAACACCAAATAAAGGGTGTTTGGAGGATTCACTCGGGATAGGAGATGCGTGCTGGGAGCAGACTATGGACAAAACACAATGGCCACTCAATACCTCTATTGCAAACCAAAACACCCTAAAGGAAAGAGACAGAAAAAGGAAATGCCCTACCACAGAGGCAGGGTGGGGTGGGGGGATGGGGTGGGGGTGGAAGGGTTACCGGGATCATTGGTGGTGGAGAGTGGGTACTGGTGGAGAGATGGGTAATCAATCATTGTATAACTTAAACCCAAGCATGAAAGTTTGTAAGTCTACAACTGTACCTCATGGTGTTTCACTAACAAAAATTTAAAAAAATAAATATTGGTTTCACATAATTCTGTAGAATTTATTCTCAAGATATAAGAATATTCACAGAAGAGCACATCTCTTTTCTTCACTTCTCTGCATCTTCCCAAATCATACGTAGAGATCCATCTCATTTTATATATAAAACTACATTTGAAAGATGACTTATCATTTAATCTGTAGCCTAGATACTTTCATATTTTTGAGGCATGGGGAGAAGTTGTGCATATCAGGAGTGTGACGGATTATTCCTTTATCCCTGTTCAGACAGTGCTCAGGAGACCATATGTGGTGCCAGGGACAGAACTAGGGTAAGCTGCATGCAAGGTAAGTGCTGCACCCCTTACCCTTTTTCTCTAGCTGTTACATTTATTTTTGCTATTTCAAAAATTACTATGATAATTGGAGGTCCTAGCAGGAACCTCATATACCCTTGACCCAAGATTGGTGCGTCTCTATTTGAGGAAGGCCATCCTCTTCAACCGAGCGTGCAGCTTCAGAGGGGACGCACATGGAATGGCGAGGGAAGAAGGGGACACCCGCCTAACCAGCCAGATAGCCGAATCAACCCTGGTGATCAATGGGGTAACAGATGTCACAGCCAGAATGCCCTTACATCCACAGCAGGTAGGGCGTTTGCCTTGCATGCTGCAGACCCAGGTTCAATTCCTCCACCCCTCTCGGAGAGCCTGGCAAGCTACTAAGAGTATCTCACCCACATGGCAAAAAATGGTAAGCTACCTGTGGCATATTCAATATGCCAAAAACAGTAACAAGTCTCACAATTTGTTGCAAGATGCTACTGGTGCCCACTTGAGCAAATTGATGAACAACGGGAGGACGGTGCTACAGTACTACCATGATAATTATATTGTAAATAGGTTATATGGATGTAGAAAGACCTATGGAATAATTCAAAAGAGTAGAACTGCTATATCAGAGGATAGACGCATTCACCATTTTTTTAAGTACATAGGAGTGGTAGTCCAATTTAGTATATCAGATTGCAATATATAAAAATTTCTCACATGCTAGAGATGGAGCTTAGCAATAGAGCAGCTTCCTTGCAAGTATGAGGCCCTGGATTTGACTGTAGCACCACCAAAAGGAGCAGAGTGTTCTAAAGAGATAGCCCAAAGGGCTTGGAAGTGTGCTCATATGTGGGAGGTCTAGGTTTCATCCCCAATTCTGCATGGTTCTCACTGCTTTATCCCAACCCCAGAAACAACTCAGGAGTATACAACACCAGGTATAGTCCCAAAACAATCTACACACCACCCTTTCTCCCCAAAAAACCCTAAATTAAGGGCCAGAGAGCTAGTACAGTTGGTAGGGTGTTTGCCTTGCATGCGTCCAACCTGGGTTCAATTCCCAGCATCCCATATGGCCCCCTGAGCACTGCCAGGAGTAATTCCTGAATACAGAGCCAGGAGTAATCCCTAAGCATCGCCAGGTGTGACCCAAAAAAGCAAAATAAGTAAATAAATAAAAAATAAAGCAAATAAACTTAAAAAAAAAAAACAAAATTCATCACACCCTTACATACAATATCCGTTTTTCATCTTTGCCAAATTGGTAGGTGAAAAGTAAATCTCTGTACAATTTTAATTTGCATTTCTATATGGTGAGAGTTGAGCAAATTTTCATGTTAAAGAAAATTGAAATTTTTTCTGCTCCAACCATTGACATTTTTCTAATAAACTCCTTGGGTTGTTTTGTTTTATTTTGTTTTGTTTTTCAGATTCTAAAAGCTCTTTTTATATATTTGGGAGATTAGACTTGTATCTACTATGAGTTGAAAACTTTCCCTCATTGTCATTTGTGTTATGCAATGTATAACACAACGATTATTCTTATCTGGATAAAGGTCAGATGAGAGTACTATATGACATTGGTGGAAGGAATTGGTCACTGTAGGAAAATGGAATGCTGAAAGGAGGTATAACGTGCAGGGCAGACCAGGCACCTGAGGACATTGGTGGAGTGAAGTGGACACTGAAGTTGTAACTTTATTGCCTGAGACTCAATCATGAATAACTTGGTAATATTGTAATTCACTGTGTTTCAATAAAAACAATTATAAAATAAAATATTTTTTTTAAAAAGGAAAAGGTTGAGAGTGGTGATGGGAATGACCCAATGTGATAGGGAGGTTATGCTCAGGATAAGCGGATGAGCGATATGTATAACAAGCATGCATTCCAGTCCTTCCAGCAATCTTCCTGTCCCCATCATTTTACTTTACACAGCTTCTGGATTTTTATTTTACGATAGCACAGTGGGTAGGGCGTTCGCCTTACAAGCGGCCAACATGGCCGACCCGAGTTCGATTCCTCCGCCCCTCTCAGAGAGCCCGGCAAGCTACCGAGAGTATTTGATATGCCAGACACAGTAACAACAAAGTCTCCAATGGAGACGTTACTGGGCCCGCTCGAGCAAATCGATGATCAACGGGAGGGCCTTTACTTTACTTACTTTACTTTATTTTATTTTATTTTTGATTTTTGGGTCACACCTGGCAATGCACAGGGGTTACTCCTGGCTCTGCACTCAGGAGTTACTCCTGGCGGTGCTCAGGGGACCATATGGGGTGCTGGGAATCGAACCCAGGTCGGCCGCGTGCAAGGCAAATGCCCTACCTGCTGTGCTATCTCTCCAGCCCCAGCTTCTGGATTTTAAACCATATTATAACTTTTAAATAGTTACGAGTTCTTCTTCTCCAGTGTCAAAAATGGTGTGATGTGATCAATGTCTTCTCATTTTGGTCAGACCAATGATGCCGTACTTGATCTTCCACACTTGCACCATCAATCAGGTCTTTAATGGATGCTTCCAATGCCAACATACACGCGTTGAAAGTACAGTCATTTTAATCCTTCTTCATTTTGGCACCTAGTTCGGCCCTGAGATTTTATCAGCCTATCCTCACTCATCCGTCTTAATGCTGCCGTATTGGGGGCTCTTTCAGGGTCAGGAGAATGAGACCCATTGTATTTATTGCTTTTGTCACATTGAATACACCATGGATAGCTTGCAAGGCTCTGCCATGTGGGTGAGATACTCTCGGTAGCTTGCCGGTCTCTCCGAGAGAGACAGAGGCTTTTAGAGCCATCTCTAATCACCCTTGCAGGTGTTCCCATGGTTCAAACCATATTTGAACCCCATCAAATATGGTGCGGTAATAATGAAAAATAGGTATTAAGTGTCTTATGATGTGTCCGGAAAGTAGCCTGGTGCGTGGCAGCAGCTGTGGAGTGGAAGGAGTGGAGGTTGGCTGAGGAGGTATTTATCTGGCTCCAGCAGAGTGGGTCTTCTGAGTGTGATCCCTGGGTCACTGGAGATTGGTGGAAGCAAGCAGAGGACCTTTGTTTATGGGTCCCATTGAGTCTGGAGTCCAAGGTCACAAAGTTTCGCTTTATCTGGTTCTGTAATGCTTAACTCATGTATGAAGCTCAGCCTGAGTGGTCGAAAAAGCAGCCTGGAATGTGGTGACGGCTGGGTCGTGGAGGAACATACAACAAAAGAGGAGTCGGTGGTGTCAGTGTCCTTGTCAACACAAACTTGGCTATAAGCACTGATTCATTCGAATGCCTACAACCCAAATTGGACAATTACACTTGAATAGATGTGGCTCACTGCGGCAGTTTCTATCTTTGTTGTCTACGCACCAACATCCAATTATGATGAAGAAGAAATTGAGAAATTCTATATGGAGCTGGAGAAATTCTATAAAGAAGACCACACCTTCTACAGTATCATTGTTGGTG